GGTTGTATGTGCACCATAGGATGTTGTAGTATACTAAAACCCTTCATGGTACTCAAGACTACTGAGCTGATTCAGTAGGTTCGGAGCAGGCTCCAGACAACTCAGAGTCGGCAGAAGAATTATGCCGACAAGCGCCGATCAGACTTGGAGTTCTAGGTGGGTGATATGGTTCTCCTGAAGGTGTCACCTTGGAAAGGTGTCATCCAGTTCAGGAAATGGGGAAAGTTGGGCCCTAGGTATATCGATCACTTCAGGGTTTTGTCTCGGGTGGGCCGGGTAGCATATCGCCTTGATCTTCCAGCCGAGCTCAGTCAGATTCATAGCACATTTCATGTCTCTCAGCTGCGGAAGTGTTTAGTGGGTGATTCTGCAGTCGTGCCCATGGAGGATATTCAGGTGGATGATCTTCTGGATTTTATCAAGAAATCGGAAGCAATTTTGGATCAAAAGACGAAAACCTTGAGGAACAAGGTTGTGGAGCTGGTGAAGGTGCAGTGGCGCCCCCTTGATCGAGGAGGAAATGAGGGAGCATTATCTAGAATTGTTCGGGGCAGTAGACTTCGAGGACGAAGTCTGATTCAAGCGGGGGAGAATTGTAACGCTTGGTTTCCGGTATGAACTTATTTTTCAATTGTTTATATTTTATTTGGGACACGGCGCGTTGGAAGCCTCACCATGGCGTGTCAAGATGACTTTGGCCGCAAAGATTAATGAACCAACACGGCGTGTCGAGGTGCCTCAACACGGCGTGTTGTCAGCTGGGAAGGAAACCCTAATTTTTAGGATGTTGCACCCTATTTAAAGGCCTTAAGTCCCTTAGCTGGCCTCCTTGCCAATCCCTCTGTTCAGAAACCCTAAAATCTAGTATCATCTTTCTTTGTTGAGTGTGTGAGCTTGTGGAGAACCTTGGGTGTTCATTTTTGGTGCATTTTGAAGGAGCTAAAGAAGCTAGGAGTTGCTTGGCTTGAAGAAGAGGTCTTGGATCCAAAACCACCATCTTATTTGCCAAGTTTTTGAGGTATCAAGTTATCACCGTGCTTGTTAGTTGCTTAGATCTCTTCTTGGGATAGATTGTATGCTTTTAACCATGGTTGGGTGGATGTTGGGTATTAGGACGTCCCAGTGCTTATTCTTTCAGATCTAAGGTCTACATGAACTCTTTTTGGCATAAAGATGCAAACTTTATGGACTTAAGGGCTTCATGTATTCATTAAGTCCTTTATTTAGCCCCTTTTGAGCATTTGAGCTTCTCCTAGCCATGCATGAGCGTAAAGTTGGAAACCTTACATGGCCTTTTAGCTTTAAGGGATCAGATCTGCATTTTAGGGCTATGTCTTTGATGATTAAGTGCTTAAATGATTAAGTACTCACTCTTTTAAGCCTAGGGTTTGGGTTTTGGACCCATTTCGGTGGTCCCTAGGGGTAAAGTCAGAAACTTTACCCTTCTAGATTTCATTTTGGTCAAGATCTAAGTTTTGGAACTCCTGGATTCGTTGAAAACAGCTTAATGCATTAAGATGTTGGACTTTAAGCGAACACGACATGTTTGTTGGCAAACATGGCGTGATGGCTTGGTTTTCCCCGATCTGAAGTTGGTAAAGAAACATGGTGTGTTGAAGGATAACACGGCGTGTTGGGCCTACAAGGACTGTTGACCTTGACTTTTTGACCTTTGACTTTTATCTTTGACCAAGTATGACCTAAGGGGTACTTGAGGCAATCTGAGTGGTAGCTAAGTAATGATTATTGTTGTCCATTAGGGGTTGGGTAGAGCTGATATTCAGAGTCGGGACCTATTCAACTATCATCCAACATTCGAGGTGAGTTTCCTTACCGGTTTAGCGGGTTTAAGGCACTAAGGCCGACCCTCGTTTGGTTATGTTATTATACTTGTTTTCTGTGTGATACTTGTATGTACCTGTATATGTATGTTTATTGGGTGAGGCCCGTTATGTGAGTGTGGGCAGGTCCCGTATCTCACTATTACCTGAGTGTGGGAGGGGCCCGTATCTCATTATTATCCGAGTGTGGGCGGGGCCCGTATCTCATTGGGCGAGGCCCGCTATTTGAGTGTGGGCGGGGCCCGTATCTTAATTGGGCGGGGCCCGTTATATGATATGTATGGTATATGGTGTTTTGGGGAACTCACTAAGCTTTTAGCTTATGGATTTTAGTTTGTGTTTCAGGTACTTCTGGTTCCAAGGGGAAGAGCTCGAGTTGACTGCATTGCACATACCAATGGGATTCCACACTTGATATTTACTCTGATTTTGATAACATTTGATACATTGGTTTTGTTGAGATGTATGGATGACATTGGGAAAAATACTATTTTACTTATTATAAAAACAAAATTTTTGGGACCATATTTTTGGGTGTTACAGAAAGGGTTAAAACCCTTTCTTAATTTTCGAAACTTAGGGGTCAAGAAACCCTAAAATCAAAATCCCTTAGTCCAAAAGGGTTGAATTGCCATAAACCCTAATTGATCAAATTCAATAATTGTAATCCATTCAATAGAAAACAAACCAAGACTCTGATACCACTAATAGATTTTGAGCATAACAAACAAAAAACTATGTGTGCATGCAACCCTAATTCTTGATCTATGTTTTCTCTAATTGAACATACAACTTTTGAACATTAAATGGAAAACCCTAGGAAACCTATACCATTTTTGAAAATAGTAACCAGGGTTATAATACATACGTTTGATTGTTATTGATGAATAACAAGAAACCCTTGTGTTGTTGAAGCTTAGAGAGCAAGCACCACAAATGTCGTGCCTCTAGTAGATCACACCCAACACTAGCAAAAGGACATGAGAGGAGAGAGGAGAAGGAGAGCTAAGAATTTCGACTATCACTCTAGGGTTTCAGGTGGCAAATATCCTAGGGGGCAAGGGTCTATTTATAGTCCAACAAGGATGCCATGGATAACCCTAATCTGAATATAATAATAATATTTCAAATTGGTAATTATCCAGCTCCTTATTTATCCACATGAGATAATCTAGAAACCCTAGACTATCCATATGAAAACCGTCCAACCCTTCCCTAGGAAGGTTCTGGGACCTCTTGTTTAACTATTGAACAATCACACTTTAAACCCTACACTTTTAATTAATTCCTTTAATCCCAAAATTAATTCAAATTAATTTCTGATTAAATATTAATTAAATATAGCTATTTCTAATTAATATATTATTCTCATAATATATTAACAAATTATTTATTTCAATTTATTAATCAAATAATAAATCTAATCTATCTTTCCAAAAAGTCATCCTGTCTAGTTGCTAGTTTTGAGGGCAACCTAAAAGGACTGTGCTACTATCAATTCAAGTATATACCAATTATAGTTATGGACTTAGATACCTAATCCAACAATATGGAGCACTTGTAAGTCAAACGGAGCATCCTATGCTTGGATGTGCCACTTAGAAGTCAAGGTGTGCCACTATTGGAACTTGATATGCCATGAAGTGACTTGATATGCCACAAAGTGACTTGATATGCCACCAAGTGAAATGATATGCCATCAAGTGACATGATATTCCAACAAATGACATGATATGCCATCAAGTGACAGGATATGCCACAAAGTGACATGATATACCATTCATGAGGTAGATGCGCCATTGCGGGGTGTATGTCTAGATATGCCAAACTTGGAGAGGACATGTCATCCCTTGATCAAGATGCGCCATCCTCATGCCTGACGCGTCATCTTGATGCAAGGATGCGCAACTTGGTTCCTTGATATGCCAAGGTATCCTTTGATGAGTTGTATGCTATGAAGTCCCCTATGATGCTCAAGATTGTTTAAGGACGCTCAGAAGTTGAAGATGCTCAAGGTATTGCTTGATGTGTCACCATGATAGTTGATATGCCATGGTGATCCTGATATGCCACTCTTGCATCATGATATGCCACTATAGATCATGATCCTCCATCATGTGTGTTGCTGATGCTCATGCAAGGATGAATGTTCCAGAAGATGCCGCATGACGGATTGTGATTGGTTGACACCTTTTCATGGGCTTATGGGCCAATGCGCTTGGCCAATTAGAGTTTTAGGTTTGATCCTTCAAGTATAAATAAGGATGCATGCTAAGTCATTTTGTATCTTGAATTTTAGAGTGTTAGACAAATCTTTGTGAGAATTGTACCTGTAACCTCTGTTTGAGAGCTTTAAAATAGAGAATACTCTCATCCTGCCTGTGGACGTAGGTCACCTTTACCGAACCACGTAAATAATGTATCTTGTGTGCTTTTAGTTTTGCAAGTTATTCGCTTTACTTTCTAACAAAAACATTGAAATTTTCAAACTTTTTCCCTATTAAGGCATTTTGATACAATAACAAGTTATAACATCATACTTTCAAATCAAACCTACTAAGTTGTACTTTTAATTTTTTTCCTTATTTTGACAATGTATTTTGAAAATCTACCCAAATATAACATTGCACTTTCATGTTTTTTTAACAGTCTACACAAATACAACAGGTGCATTTTCATTTTTTTTTGAAAATCCACCCAAATATACCATTGTACTATCATTTTTTTTAAAACTTGGAGATAAAGTATTACATTTTTATTTTTATGGAAAGTCTATCCAAATATAGCATGCTACTTTCTTTTTCTTAAACTTACCTCGATATAACATTTTATTTTTGTCTTTTTTGAAAACTAACCCAAATATATGCGCTCATCAGAAAATTAACTATCATTTTCTTGCATTTTGTAGTGGCTAACCCGAAGAAACTTGAGCTGAATGACTGAATGCTAGAGATGGTCTCTCAAATACAAATTCTTAGCTAATTGGCTACCACTCAACATGCTACATGATAGAAATGAAATAATTAACCAATGACATCTTTAAAATGACATGTTTTAATTGGTAAATTTCTATTAACGATTTTGGGCTCATAAACTTTGGCCCAAATTGGAACCCTAATTAAATATCTTATAATCCAGCCGCTCACATTTTCTGGCTTCGTAACCAAACACAAGCTCCCCTTTTGCTCTTATTCCGGACTAGGGCTACCAGTTTACCAATCGCTCCTCTCATCACAGTTCTATTCCTTGTCCACAAACACCATAGTCGGTAAGTACTTATTAGTTATTACGCTTGCTAGGTCAACTACTCTCTTCCACTTCTCGATTCCTTTGATTTTTCCAATGTTCGAATACGTTTGGTTTTCGGAATATAATGCGATCGTGGTTATCTATTGCGGAGTCTGCAGTTGAAGTTTTTATAATTGCATTCTGAGATTGTTAAATCTGGTGCAGAATTGTTTCTACAGTGCAATGGGTATGCTATTCGTGTCTGAAACTGTAAATATGAGAACTTTGTGGCCTGAGGGCCAGGTCTTGCATTGATTTGTTAGTTAGTTAATGTTATTGTTAAGCTAATTGATTTGTTATCTTACTCATTGACGCATTTGTCGTTTTTATTTAATGTATACCTTTTACTGCTTTGATTTGTTGGATTCAAATTTAGAACATCGTAGCTTTTGTATTGAAAGATTGCTACGGCCATGTCGTTTGCTTTCTACAGAAATTGCATACTTCGTTAATCACAATGACATTAAGTTTATACATCAGATTTCATTCAAATATAACTGCAATGAAATTAATTATCATTGCCTTTTGCAGGTATATGGTTTGATTGTGTTGTTAATTGGGACAATGGGTAGCCAAACTCCCATTAACAAAGATCGTTCAAGAACTTATTGGACTCCAACAATGGAGCGATACTTTGTAGATCTCATGCTTGAACATATGAATTTAGGGAATAGGGTTGGACATACATTCAATAAACAAGCATGGAATGACATGCTAGCTGTCTTCAATGCAAAATTTGGATCACAATATGATAAAGATGTACTCAAAAGTCGTTACACAAATTTATGGAAGCAGTTTAATGATGTCAAGATTATGCTTTCCCAAAGTGGATTTTCATGGGATGAAACAAGAAACATGGTGGTTGCAGATGATTATATTTGGGATTCTTACATCAAGGTATGATTAAAAACCAAAACCTATTACTAGTAAAACATAAAAAAGTTAAAAACCATATCACATTCTTTCTATGGTAAATGTTTCAGGCTCACCCTGATGCAAGACAATATAGGACAAAAAGTGTGCAGAATTTCAGTGATTTATGTTTGATTTATGAGCATACAACTGCTGATGGAAGATACAGTCGTTCAAGTCATGATGTTGATATTGATGATGAAGTCAATGGAGTGAATTTAGGTAAGAATTGGGATTCTATTTGTTACAATATTTTAATAAATGTGAGAAATGACAAATGTTGTTTCATTTACATGTGTCTTTTTGCATCTTACTTTCATTTCTTTCTATTATAACATTCTACCACATCAAATTGCTTTGTATTTGCATGTTATTATAAAATTAACTCTATTTTTTTGTTGTTTAGGTGATGGGATACAAAGTGTAATTCCTTCAAATACTGAGAGATCAAGAACCGATTGGACAACAGAAATGGACAATTTTCTCACAGAGTTACTGTTACATCAAGGGCAAAAAGGTAATAAACATGATAATTCATATACCAGAGAAGCATGGACTGAGATGCTCACTTCATTCAATTCCAAATTTGGCCCTCAACATACAAAACGCATGTTAAGACATCGATACAAGAAACTATCAAAATATCATTCAGATATAATGATATTGCTGAAACAAGATGATTTTTTATGGGACACAAAGGAGCAAAAGGTTGTTGCTAATGATGATGTTTGGGATGCCTACTTAAAGGTATTTGCTTTGATGATGATGTGGCAGTTTTTTTTTTTTTTTTTTTTTTTTTCATTTATCTGTAATGTGGTTATTGTTAATTGCAGACACATCCACAAGCAAGAACATATAGAACAAAATCAATGCCAAATTATAAAGATTTGGAATTGATTTTTGGAAGTGATATTGTTAATGGATCTCAAAAGGATCTTGACGAAGACATTGGATCAAAGACTGGTGTGTGAATTTATTTCCTCAGATTTATTTATTTATTTATTTATTTTTGTTTCCTGCATATATTTGTTCACTTATCTACAAAAAAGCAAATGAGTGGCTTTTGCAAAACCTAAGTTTCTAACTAAGATTAATAATTATTAGATATTTATTAATTTATGGACTTTTCTAATCCAAAAATTATGCAGGAAATGAACGTTCTAGAACATACTGGACCCCACCAATGGACCGATATTTGGTTGACTTATTGGTTGACCATGTAAACAAAGGCAACAAAATTGGGCATACATTTATTGCTCAAGCTTGGATTGAAATGGTGAAATCATTCAATGCCAATTTCAACTCAAATCATGACAAAGATGTTTTAAAGAATCGATACAAACACTTAAAGAGACAGTACAATGACATAAATACCCTTTTAGGGGAAACAGGCTTTTCTTGGGATGATACACGAGAAATGGTGGTAGCTCAAGATCATATTTGGGATGCTTACATTAAGGTAAAACAGTTTTTGACTTTTTTTTTTTTTTTTTTTTTTTTAAAAAAGTTCTTGCTATTTTTGTTTTTTGTTTTTTTTATTCAAGTAAAGTTTATTCAGGTACATCCTGATGCAAGATGTTATAGGGTTAAAATGGTCTCTAGTTACAATAAACTGAGTGTTATTTATGGTGAAGATAATTCTGAGGGGCGTTATGGTCGTTTGGCTCGAGATGTCTCAATTATAGGTATGCATGTTATGTATGAAATTATTTTAGTTTCTGTTTTATTGGTGTTATATCAATTTAAGGGTTAAATTTCTGTTTATATTTTTTTTTATAATTTCAAGAAAAGTATGGACTTAAATTTCATTTTAGTTTCTGTTTTATTGGTGTTATATCAATTTAAGGGTTAAATTTCTGTTTATATTTTTTTTTTATAATTTCAAGAAAAGTATGGACTTAAATTTCATTTTAGTTTCTGTTTTATTGGTGTTATATCAATTTAAGGGTTAAATTTCTGTTTATATTTTTTTTTTTTTATAATTTCAAGAAAAGTATGGACTTAAATTTCATTTTAGTTTCTGTTTTATTGGTGTTATATCAATTAAAGGGTTAAATTTCTGTTTATATATATATATTTATAATTTCAAGAAAAGTATGGACTTAAATTTCATTTTAGTTTCTGTTTTATTGGTGTTATATCAATTTAAGGGTTAAATTTCTGTTTATATATATATATATATATATATTATATATATATATATATATTTTATAATTTCAAGAAAAGTATGGGCTTAAATTACACTTGTAACCTAAAATAATACCTATTCTTAGGTAGCTTTTGGTATGATTGATTTAGAGAATAAATGTAATGGTAAATTTTGTTGGAATTACAAAAATTTATTTTAATTTCATGTTTATTTATAAGTTATAATTATATTTTCTAAAATAACTCGAACATATATTTCTTGCTATTATCTTATTTGGGTTTTAATGAGCTTATATTATGATTCATTAATTTATATTTTTACTTTTTTAAAAAGGGAAAACTTCATAAAAGTCCTTATATTTTAGCCTCATTAGTGATTTAGTCATTATATATATTTTTACTTCAATTAAGTCCCCAAAACCGATTATTGTATTCATTTTGACATTTTTACCTAATCAGCAGGTCTTCCAACTTTCAAAATTTATACTTTTGGCCCAGATTTTAAATTTTATTACAAATTTGGTCTAAAATTTACATTTTTGGCCCAAATTTCAAAATTTTGTCACGAATTCGATCTAAATTTAGTTTTTTTACATCTTTTTTTTTCTTTTAAATTTGTTTTTTACTGTATAAAATGAAATTTATACAAAATAAACATGTTGACCGGGTTGTTTTAATGTGAAAATGTTTTTTCGTATAAAAAACATATTTTCATATTAAAAAATCCTTCGTTGGAAAAAACATGATTTTAATGATTTTTTGTATAAATATGATTTTATACAAGCAAAAGAAAAAACATATTGGATACCAAATTTTGAAATGTAAAAAACTAAATTTAGGATTAGTTCGTAACAAAGTTTTGAAATTTGGGTAAAAAATGTAAACTATGGACCAAATTCGTAATAAATTTTTAAATTTGGGCCAAAAATGTAAATTTTGAAAGTGGGATGACCTGTTGACCGTGTTAAAGTGTCAAAATGAATACAGTTGTCGGTTTTTGAGACTTAATTGAATAAAAAAATATATAAGAACTGAATTGATTATGTGACCAAAATATAAGGACTTTTATGGAGTTTTTCCTTTTAAAAATTATTTCTTTAATGAATTCTTTATGTGTTCTAACTTTTAATTTGTTTTTAGGTGAAAGTGATGGAATCATCTTATTACCAAACAACTCAACAACAAATTCCAATACTCCAACAAAAATAGAAGACACAAATCCAATCCAAATAAATCCTCAAGAAATCGTGACACCCATCAACAAAAAGCGCCCAACAAAGTTGCCATTAACTCTACAACCTGCTTGCAAAGTGCAAAAAATCCAAAAAGATGATATAAAAGAAGCTTTGGTAAATAAAAAGACGGATGATAACAAGTTTAATGCAATAGAAAAAGCAGTTGATGCACTTCAAGCAATACCCGATTTAGATGATGAACTTTTGTTAGATGGTTGTGATGTTCTTGAAAATGAGAAAAAAGCAAAAACTTTTTTGGCATTGGATGCGTCTTTACGGAAGAAATGGTTGTTGAGAAAGCTTGGGCGCTAGCATAGAGTCTTTAACCTTTTTTTTGGACCATTTTTGTCAAGATTCTAGTTTTACAAGTCACTTTTTGATTTGATTAAAAAAAATCTTGGTTTCTTAATTTTCATCTAGTAGAATGTTGGAACTCTTTATGTTACTATTTAAGACTCTATGCTATGTTCCTTAAGGGATTGTGAAGGTAATCCAATCCATTGACAAGCTCGATGCATATCTTGAGACATTAAAACCACGTGACACTTGTGCAGACAATGATTTGTCTTGTACAAGTGTCACATGGGGTGTAATGACTCGAGATATTCATTGGGATTGTTGATGGATTGGATTCTTTTCATAATCATTTGAAGAATATATCAAGGAGTTTTGCATGGTGACAAAAAGAGTTCCAACATTCATTGGATGAGAAGTAGGAAGCTAAGCTTTTTTTTAGTGAGATTACATTATATAATACTTGTAAGCCATTGTCTTCTCTTCAATTTATAGTCATAGAAGAACATACCAAGGAGGAGTTGTTGATAGAGTATGCTTGAATTAGACTATACTATGGATATTTTGTCCCTTAATGTGAAGATTGAAGAATGCATTCTATAATGAACACTAGCCACTAGGAGATGGTATGCATGAATATTCCTTGGCATGAAGTGTAACCCAAGTGATGCTCGTAATGTGTATATATATATTATGCTTGTGAATAACATGTGAATGCAACCTTTTCTATCTTTAAGTATCTAAACATGGCGCCTGCCTAAAGCTAATAAGCTGAACTTTTGATGTATGACTCATGGAGTGTGATTGTAGACCTAAAAAATCCTGAAGGAATGTGTTTTGAGTTTCAAAAGATATATGGATCTATGATGTGATAACACAATTGCTATTTAGATTGTACATAATCTTGTACACAATTGAACAAAGCATGTGAAGGTTGACCACCATGCTATTATAGAAAATTCTAATTGGAAAATATATGCTTTAAAAAAATTTGTAACATCGAAGGAACAATTACCATGTCTAGTACAAGTGAAAAAACATTCTTGAATTGTTTAGGTCAAAGTTTTTGGTAGGGACGGACCATGTTAGAATAATTCCTTGGATAAAATGGAACTTGGTTCTTGCCTCTAAGAATAATGGATGTATTAGTATAGGTAGTCTTGGTTCTTTTAATTACTTATGATTTGTTGCAAAAAATGGAGGTGGTGGTTCGTGAACGAAAGTGAAGCTCTATGGGTTGGTGTTATTAAATTCGTGCATGGGTACAAAGGTGGTGTGTATGAAGACAAACCCTCAAGTCGCAAATTACATGATGATTGTATTGTTCCTTTTTTTTCCTAGTCTTTGCAAATAGGTTGGAAGTTCGAGAAAATACAAATTTTTTTCTAGTCTGTTCTTGATCTTATATCGAGTTTTACCCGATTAGAGATTTCGAGTGTACCATCGACATGCTTTAATCTGAAAGTGTAATTTACGACTCATAGTAATCCAAGCATTCTTAACCCTGATTTCCAAACAGGGGAGGGGCTCTATGGGATGAAAAAACATATAACCACAAAAAATAGCTTTATTACAAACTCAATTATTATTATATAATGCATTATTATAGTAATATTTGACACATAGATCATCCACCAAAATTTAAATCTTAACAAAACTTACAACGGTCTAAATTCGATCCCTTGAACAGAAAGACCCGTAAAGTTCCATTTATCACAACTTTTGAAACACGTACGCATTGAAATAGTTGTTGCAAAATCTCCCGGGAATTCCCACACTTTAAGCTCCATCCAACCATCCTCCCTTAGTCTTGGATGGCCTTTTATTTTGCGAGTACTTAATGGGGATTGAGACAAATGATCAAGCTGGGGTCTAATAATAGGAACATGAGGTGGAGTAATTAAATAAATAAGCCGTTTATGTGTTATAAAGTCAATCTTGAGATCTATGTTTTCTACTTCTATTGGTCCCTCAAACACTGAGTGGTGATTTTTAGGAAGTTTGTACAAGAGGTAACTTGCATAAGTTGTTTGAGGTGATAGTAGTTGGGATTCGATTACACAAGCAATAGAAAAAGAGTTTGTGTCACGAGACTCTGCCATCATGTCAAATCTGCAAAGTAGGAAAAGAATACGTTTCATCCAAATCTACAGACTTGTAAAAACTGATTGTAGTTAATAGTATAGGATACATGGAATCTTAGATTTTATGTCCAAAAGATTCCTTGAGAAGAAATAGGAGGCTTCAACATATATTATATAGAGATGAATGTAACCTAGTGTAGCCGATAGAGACTATCATAGTTATGTTAGGGCATCTCAAACACCCAATCCTATTTTTTGCATAACTTCTTACACAATTTTGTTCGAATCCAACATCATTTTTGCACCATTTTGTGGAAAATAAATAGTATAACACCAAGATTGTGTTAAACTTTCATGTGTCAGTTTTGGTTCTTCAAAATTTATGTTTATACATTTTTAATTTATTTGATTGTAGAGTTGTATTTTACACGATTATTACTTATAATAGTATGTTTTATATTAAATTGTTATTAATGAACGAGAGTTTTGACAACTATATAAGCAAAAAAATGGAATATAACATGGACATATTTTTTGATGTAAAAAATGATGTAATGGGTTGAAGATGAATCAATCTTTGCACTATTTTTGCACCATTTTGTGCATAAATAGTGTTATATGTTGGAGATGAATCATTCCTTATCTTTTTTTTTTTTCACAATTTTGGTGCATAAAATAGTCTTTATGGGTTAGAGATCATATTAGCAACCATATGAATTGAGAAAAAAACAAATAACCTTGATTCCTGTAGGGACTTCCATGTCCACTTTTCTTCTTGCAAGATTGCTCTTGCAGGTAGCATATGACATTTCTTCATATTTTCGTCAACAGAAAACCACTGATCATCAATAAAGTGTAGATTATTAGTAAACCTGTTGCGTTATCATTTGAAATTATTCGAACTCTAAAGTATTAATTCATGAGAATTAACTAAACATAATCATTTGTAAAGTTATGACAACTGATGAGATAAATTGTGTGCTCTTAGTTGCAATTAGAGGTGAGCAAAAACCGCACCGCAACTAAAATTAACCGTAAAAACCGCAACCGATAAACCGCAACCGCAATAAAAACCGATGGTGAGGTTTTTTGTTTTTCAAAAACCGCAAATTTGCGGTGCGGTGCGGTTATTAGTTTTCAAAAACCGCACCGCACCGCATATATCATATACAAATTTTTTAATTAATTATTAATATATTAAATATTAAAAATAAGACAAGTTTCATGGATGAAAGATGGATAAAATACTAGAAGAAAAAAATATTGATTTTTTGTTATGTTTAACTTTGAAAAATAGTGAAATTAAACAATTTTAAGATATTTCTTATTAATTACTATTGATTTGACGTTTTTAAGATATTAGTTGTTTGTGATTTAAGTTAATTGTTTTATACCTTATGGTTTTTTTTATTATTACAAGTAATATGTTTGAACTCTTAAAACCGTTTGAGCTCTAACCTGTGGTTAAAAACCACACAAAATAATCGCACCAAAATCCATGCGGTTAATAACCTCAACACAGAAAAAACAAAACCGCACCACAAAAATAACCGCCTAACCGCACCGCAAAAATAACCGCACCAAACGGTTTTGAAAACGGATTAACCGCATTTGCGGTTAGTGGTGAGGTTTTAGCTAATAACCGCAACGAACCGCACTGCGCTCACCCCTAGTTGCAATAGTCGTACTATATATTGTGGTCCATATTTTTTTAGACTCATGAATGTTTTTTTGTACTTGATGAGGAACGCAAAGAAATCAAGAAATCAAAATGTTGGCTAACTTTAATGTCAAAGATATTTTTTTTAGGATCTATATATTCAAATGATAGTTACTGTAATATCTCAAATTCGCATGCCCTATACACATGACACTTTAAACAATCAATCGATGATTTATGGTAGGAATCATTTTAACTGATAATAATGTAAAGTAGTAGCTTATAAAGCAAGTGATAATAGGCTTGATGTTATTATAACTTAAACTGGTGAGGTATATTCTAAATAGATATATCGTAACAAAGATTGAATGAGAGTTAATTACCTTCTCACCATTATTAATGGAGAACCCTTTACGAAGAAGACAGAAGAGTTCCTTATTACTTGTGGAGTGCACTCTATCTTCCAACCACTTGGTTATTTCTGGATGATCACTTGACATTTTTTCTATTTCAGAATATGAGATGGGTTTGATATCCACATTATATTCATCCTTCAAATTTTGATGCTTCTCCTACAAAGCATATCAATATGGTATTATATTACATAATTTTCATGGTTGATATATGCAATTTAACAAATACACAATTTTCATACTATATAGTTGCAAACGGTAAATTCATATTGTGAACTTACATGCTCTACGGGTCGAAATTCAATTCCTTCAAGAACCAGGTTACGATGTAGGGAATAATAGGATGGGCGCACAAACCGAATCCTAAATTTATTTTCCTTCTGGTAGCTAGTGAATTGGTATAATTCTGTCATCAGCCACCCATCTTCTCTGAGATGTGCAACACATGATGTGGAATATTGTGCTTCCTCTTCCAGTTTGTACTTAAAGGGTACATATGGCCCATTATCCCAAAGATGATGCTTAAAGACAAGGTTGATAGTATATGTGATATGGGTGGACAAAAATTTTGTATCTGCTTCTACTCCAAAATCACCATCTATCATATGAAATACGACACTTGGAAATCTGCATATATCACAATATATGTGGTTGAGGTACAACCAACCAGTGACGGACCCTAAGAGGGGACTCCCTGGTTTTAGAGTTTATATATATATATATATATATATATATATATATATATATATATATATATATATATATATATATATATATATATATATATATATATATGGTGAGGTTCAATAGAAAACCATAATTAACCAATGAACCAATTTTTTTTCAACTTTTAGAACTTATTTTTTATCAAAAAAAAAAAAAACTAATAATACAGAAATTCATAACTTTTTATCTTTTTTTCAATGATATCAAATTCGAAAAAAAAAAAAATAATTTCGTCAAATTCACAATGTGAATCTTTGAAAATTCACAGTGTGAATGTAAATTCACATGGTGAATCCGAAAAATATATTTAACATTCACAATGTTATGTTATAAATTTAGATATATTTAATTTTTTTTTCGATAAAGAATAAGCTCTAAAACTTGAAAAAAAAATTTGATTCCTTGGAGAACTAATAATTATGGTTCTATATTGAACTTTTCCATATATATATATATATATATCTATATATATATATATATATATATATATATATATATATATATATATATATATATATATATATATATTCTGCAATACAACGACCCTAATCAAGGAGACTATTTTCATAATTAACATGGTATCAAGCTAGGGTTTACACATGCTATTTTCAAAATTAACATGATATCAAGCTAGGGTTTACACACTTCTCTCATGCTAAGTACGACTCAAATTTTTTTCGCTCCTAGTCGATTTTTTTGGGGATTCTACGTTGCCTTCTTCTGCTTCAATCCTTAACTCATCGATCTTCATTGATTGTCCTCCTGCCCTGGTTGTCCCTTGTTCTCTGGTGATAACTGTCCTATCGAACACTTCTGCCTCTTAAACCTTTTGCCCAAATCGCTGCTTGAGGAAGCTTTTCCTTTCACTTTTGGGTCTCGCAAACTGTTGCTCTACTGTTCAGTTTCTACAGCTGCTGCTCTCCTGTGAAAATCCACCATTGTTGCAACACCTAAGGTACTGTTACCATGTCTATACCAACTTCAACATCTAACCGATCTCAATCTAAGTTAAGTCTCGTGTGCACTCTCACCAACATGTACAATCAATTTAGTTTCAAATTGAATGTTGATGGGTCTCGGTATAAACTATGGGGTCAAATCTGTTCGAACGGGGATGAGGACGAGAATGGTATTTTGTTGATGCTCGCATCAACTTTTGGTTTTGTAGCACTCGTGACCCAAGCTTGCTTCATATAATTTGTAGTGATGACTGTAATGTTAAAAATCTTTGGGATAAGTTGGATGATTTTTTCTGGAACAAAATGTCTCGCATGTTGCAACTCCAGGATCAATTTCGCAACACCAAAAAGGGTGCTAGTTCCATCATTGAATTCTGCCATACACTAAAGAATGTTGCTGATGATCTCAAAGATGTTGATTCTCCCATCATAGAAATTGAAATGGTAATGCAAATCTTGAGACAATTGCCATATTCATATCATAGCATCGTTGATGTCATCACCAACACGAAGCCTTTTCCCTTGTTTCTAGAAGCCAAAAATATGTTATTACTACATGAATCTCGTGAGGCTGCCATCGACACCATTCATGACCCTTCCATCTCTCAAAGTTCGGCTCTCTATGTAACGCCCCATTCCCGGTACGAAAGTAATTCTCTAAATGTTCATTTTATAAGAGCTACTCGACGAGTTGGTAGCCCTAACTCGTCGAGTAGGTGCGAGCTGGACCGCGGGGTTTAAGTGGACTACTCGACGAGTCAGAAATGGACTCGGCGAGTAGGTTAATCAGGAGGTAACCCTAATCCTTAGGGTTTTCACCCTATTTAAGCATCATTATGAGTCTTCACCCCAACCTCCATCACCTCCACAGTCCATTCTCGAAACCCTAGCAACCATTGAGTGTCTTAAAGCCTTTCTTGCCATTTTTGTGTGATTTGAAGTTAGGAGAAGGAAGAGATCTATTGGTGATTCAAGAAGAGGCAGGAGATCCAGAGTTTTAGTTGCATTTCAGAGCTCTTGAAGGTATAAAGTTTATACCTTGGCTTATTTTCACTTTGATCTTCTTGAAAGCTTGTTTGTTGCCACTTTTGGGTCCTTTCCAAGCTAATTTCGGGTAGAGAGCTTTTAGGACTATAAGGACTTTAGATCTAGGCACTCTTGAGCTCCAGAAGCTCAAAGTTACCACCTTTATTCAGCCAAGATCCCATTCTATGCCCTAGACTCTCATTTCTAGCTTGTTTTGGGTGATTTAGCTTCATAGCATCATGCATGCACATAAAGTTAGCAACTTTACGTGTTATTCTAGCCTAAGGAGTCCAAATCTATGAATTAGAGGCAGTGGAATCACCTAGGAACAACTGTATAGTCTGAGCATGCAATGGACTCGCCGAGTTGTTCTTGGGACTCGACGAGTCGGATCGATGTCCCCAAACCCTTATTTGATTATGAGTGAAACCACTGAGTTAAGGAGATGACTCAGCGTGTTGGACATGAGTAAGACTCGGAAACAAAAGAACTCGAAGAGCCCAAGGTGAGACTCGACGAGTAGAATCGAGATGTACTGATGTTATGACCGTTTGAACTGCATGCTAGTACAGATTAGTCAGTATGATAGCCAGAGTAGTAGGTGTTTGATTTTGTGTACTCGATGCTCGAATGCTGCTTGCTTTGTGCTTTTAGGAGTCTTAGTTATCTTTTACTAACTAGTAAATGAATATGTTACGTTGCATATTGCAAGGATTAAATAATTTCAGAAGGTTAGGTCTAGCTCTATTGCGCAGCTCTTGTTTGAGTCCAACCGTTGTAGGGTAGGATCTCTCATTCGAAGAATTATTTAGTCTGAGTAATATGTAATAGTATTCGCGAGCTAGTTAGGGGAAGAAAGCAGGGACTTCTTATGCAGCTGATGGCGGAGAGTAGGTTGGTGATTACCCTAGGGCAAGCCTAGGATGAGAGTAGCAGAGAGCAGTGGCAATAGAAAGGACTTGGTGGAGTCGAGGCAGTTCTTGAGGAAAGTACAGATAGATGTGGAAGGTAGTATGGGCCCTAACTACTGAAAGCAGAGGATCCGTACTCGAATCAAGGAAGGATAAGATAAGACCAGGGAACTTGTAGTATGTGTGATTCCTCCAGTTATATTAGTATTCTGACGCTTGTTATGATGTGTTTTCAGAATGGTGGTTTTACGCCCTAGACCACCAGTTGGTAGTTCAGGTGCAGGAGAGGGATCGGGCTCAGGCTCTGGAGCCGGGCAGTTAGATGAGCAGACCAGGGAGTTCATCTCCTCGGAGGTCACACACAGCATACTAGACCAGACTGCTGTAATTTTTGGATCGGTCAAGGAGGGTATCCTAAAGCTTCTGGATGAGAAGTTGGGCGCATTCCGTACTGAGATGGCGGCCATGATGGGATCGCGCACATTGACGTTCAGGGAGTTCAGAGCTTGTGGGGCTCCCGACTACCATGGGGCTCGAGACCCCATTGCGAGTACCAGATGGTTGGCGGATGTCGCCAACGCGTTCTGCACCAGCAGATGTCCCGAGGGGGACAAGGTCAGATTAGCATCCTGTCTTCTGAAGGACAGAGCACGAGATTGGTGGGAGGAGGTCGGGAGAGCTATTGGAGATGACTCTTTGTTGGATGCTATGACCTGGAGTGATTTCACGACCAGGTTCAGAGTCGAGTTCGCACCTGTTATTGAGGTGCAACAGCTTGCTAGGGAGTTTCAGGACCTCCAGCAGAGGACAAAGACTGTGGCGGAGATTACCGCCAAGATTAGGGAGAGGGCCCTCCTCGTTCCGCAGTATGTGGCGGACGAGGAAATGAAGAAGGCCCGATATCATGAGATGTTGCGGAGTGATATCCGCCAGTTTGTGAGCCGCTCCAGCTGCAAGACGCTGGAGGACATGATTGCGAGGGCTCGTGAGAGGGAGATTGATCTAGAGATGGAGAGGAAGAGGAAGCCAGAGGTGACGTCTGGCGCAACAGGTTCGGGGAAAAAGCCCAAGGTGTCTGATCACAGGTCTAGGGGACAACAGAGCCACAGTCGGTGTGGCAAGTGTAGCAGGTTGCACGATGGGGTGTGCAAGGCGGGGAGTTTCGGCTGCTTCAATTGCGGTCGGACTGGGCATATGAGTAGGGATTGTACAGCTACTACCACTACCACCACAACATTTGATCTGATTTGCTTCCATTGCAATCAGAGGGGACACAAGAAGTCCCAGTGTCCGAGTTTAGCACCTATAGGACAGGTGGTGGTACCCGCTCCTACCACACTGAGGATTACAGACGGCCGGCAAGGTCGTGCTGAGGCGCCAGTGGCGAAGAGTAGAGCTTTCCAGTTGACAGCAGAGGAGGCGCGAGCGACTCCTGATTTGGTTGCTGGTACGTATTTTCTCCATTTTCTCTCTATTACTCTTGATTATTACTCATGTTTATGTGTTGTTTATAGGGTCGTTCCTAGTGAATGGCATTTCAGCCATGGTATTGTTTGATTCGGGGGCTAGCCGATCGTTTGTATCGCTTGCACTTAGCAAGCGATTTAGTAGAGCTCTGGGGGAGCTGGATTGCCCACTTGACGTTGAGATAGCAGATGATAGGACCGTCAGGGTCGCGAGAGTTCATAGAGGGTGTTCACTTCGGTTATTTAATGAGCAGTTTTTAGTGGACTTGGTTCCTATTCCCTTGCGAGGGAATAAGGTTATAGTAGGTATGGATTGGTTGAGCCCCAATGAGGCGGTGATAGATTGTGAGCAGCAGCTAGTGAGGGTTCGCACTCCTAGAGGGGGAGAGCTAGTGATTCAGGGTGAGAGGCCACAACGCAGATCGATTCTTTGTTCAGCAGCGAGAGCGAGACGCTATTTCCAGCAGGGTTGCGCGGGGTACGTCGTCTATGTTATGGATACCCGGGATAATGGTAA